TCATCTATCCAGCTATCAAAACCAGTTGGCGAGGACTAATTTCCTGAGAAGATATTATAAAAGGGATATCCGTTATGAAAAGTATTTTCGTCTGGCTGAGTGAATCTTGTTTTAATTTCTGATATCTAATATGAAAGGGACTAAAGGATAATGGTGGAAATTTCGAATTCATTAGCAGCTTTGGTTTCGACGTGATTAATTAAAGCTCCACCAAGTCGCGTTCAGCCAGTTCTACTTTTGAAATTACTTCTGTCTACAAATCAATTTACAATATTTTTTGCAACTATTTGAAAATCTTGTGCGCAAACAATAGAAATCCGCATCCGATTCTACGTCGTTAAGAAACAGCAATTAACGAGAAAAAAACGAACACTAAAACGTGTCTTAAAAAGCAACTTTCCCTGATTAAAACTGTAAAATTTACGACGACAATTCGCTGAAAAGTTGAAAAGAAAGTTAGTGTTCCCGATGGGGATTGTTTCATTGTAAACGTGAAATAATCGCCTGGCCGCGTCAACATCTTGCTCCAATTAAACAAAGAGTTTTCCTGAAATGAGCCAAATTAACATGGAATAAACAGCCGATATTTTTTCCGCTTTAATTTCCCGACGAAATAATGGTTTTAATTAAACGACAAAGTGCGCCAATCTGATTTTGCTTGCCGAATTTGCGCTAAACGACGAAGGTCGTTATTGGACTATCAAAAGAACGTTAAATGGAAAATTAGATTTGGAAAATAATACGAGAAACACTAGTTTGGATTTTATTTGCTCCAAGACTTCAAAGGCAATAAACAAATTTCTTCAAAATTTTGCTCAACAATAATTTTCCTTCCTCTAGTTGACTAATTAACTTTTGCTCAGAGAAATATTCTGTAGCTTTCTGCTTAATTTTGTCAATCGTCGCAAGAAGTCGATTACAAAAGTAGATCCTCGACCAATTTGTTCAGCGCATTTTAGCAATTTAGCATGAACAAAAATTAACTCTTTCTACCTAAAACACCTAAATTCATTAAACTTTCGAAAAAAGCCTTCATGATCCTGACGAAATCTACATTCTCAGATGGTGCAGAAAGAGCGCTGTTTGGTAAGATTTTCTATTTTAAGCCCAATTTTACTAGGCCGGCAAAAATTAGAAAACCCCGTGATTTTAACGAAACTTTCAGGGTTTTTAGACGCAGGTGTCTCCTATAAATTGTTAAAATGTTCAGTTGCTAGTTGCTTCACTTTCGAAGATGCGAATTTCTATAACGGAGAAGGCAGAAGGGTTAAGGCTTCTATTTTACGGCCAATGTTTACAAGTCCGGAAAATTTTTGACATTTGGGGGGTTTTAATGAAACTCGCAGAATATTGAAAGCCCAGTGGATTCTAGATACTGCCAAAAATTCTTACATTCAACAATTCTTACTTGTTGAAGTTTGGAAAATGTGCATTTTTAAATGCGAGGGCACAGTTGGGTAAGAGCTTTTTTTATAGCTATGTTTACAAGGCCGGCAAAACTTGGGCTTTTCGGTGATTTAAATTAAAGTTTCAGAAGTTTTATAGCCAAGTAATTGCTAACGATGACCAAAATTGTCAATTACTGAAAGCTTCGTTTATGAAGCTCTGGATTTTTCTGCGAAAGCGCGCACTTGGGCCAGAGCTTTCATTTTAAGGCCAGTGTTTACTGGCGGGCAGAAGCTCGTTTTCTGAGTGATTTGAATGAAACTTGCAAACTTTCTAAAGCCAGGTACGTTTTAAATACTGAACAAATTTGCAGTTGCTAGTGGCTTCATTTTTGAAGATATGCATTTTTGAAAGTGAGAACGCAGTTGGATAAGAGCTAGGTTTAGACCGATGTTTAGTAGACCAGGAAAAATTAGGCTTCAGGGCGATTTTAATAAAACTCTGAGAATTTCGAAAGTCAAGTGTCGTCTGACGATTATGAAAATTTCCGGTTGTTACTTGCTTCCGTTTGGTAAATGCGAATTTTTAAAAGCGAGAGCGCAATTGGTTAGGTGCTTCTATTTCAAGAGCAACGTTTATTAGGCCGACACAAATTAGGCTTGAATGTGATTCGAATGAAACTTTCAGAAGTTTTAGAGACAGGAGCCTTCTCTGATAAACTGTAAAAATCTCCAATTGATACGAACTTTTCAATGCGAGAGCGCACTTGGGTAAAAAAAATGTTTTGGGGTTAGCTGGGCGGGCAAAAATTTGGCCTCTGGGTGATTGTAACGAAACTTTCCGGAGTTTTAGAGCCGGTTGTCTTCTAAAAGCTGTGAAAACGTTGCATTGCTAGTTGCTTCATTTTGGAAGATGCGAATTTTGTTATGCGAGAGCGCACTTCGGTAAGAGCTTCTATTTTAAAACCAGTGTTTACTAGGCCGAAACAACATAGGATTGAGGGTGATTTAAATGAAACTTTCTCCATTATTAGCTTTGAGCCATTGCAACCGATGGCGACAATTTGCCCTTGCTAGGTGCTTTGGTTTGAAAGATACGAATTTTTTAAAGCGGCAGAGTAGTTGTGCAAGAACTTCCATTTTAAGGCCAATGTTTACTAGGCTGGAAATAATTAGGATTCAGCGCTATTTTAATGAAGCCTCTTCGATCAATAGAACCATGTGTCATCTAAAATGGTGAAAATTGCCAGTCACTTCTTGCTTCAGTTTAAGAAACACGAATTTTTGTAATGCGAGGGTGCAGTTGTATAAAAGCCTCCAGTTTAAGACCAATTTTTCATGGGTCGGAAAAAAATTTAATTTAGCGCTATTTTTATGAAGCGT